TAAAGCAAACAATAATATTTCATTTAACACGAAATAATTTTACTTTCAATTATCATTATTTGTGTAAGGTTCTATGTTGCATCGATATGTCGATGAACTTGCCTTGTGTTATTGTGTAACCATATTTATTTACACCAGATAACAATGCCACGCCAAAACTGAATTACGTCTAATGGCTGTTAAACTATTAGAAATGTAATGCCCTAACAAGTGCACATGCGGGCACTTCCTCACTATGGCCGCAACAATGAATTTATTTTAAAGAACAGGTTTCAAGATGATTTACATCCCTCGTGGTGTAATTAGATGTCTAATTAATCAAATATTAAAGGCAGCAAAATGGCAATGCATGCTGCAGTCAACAGGTTAAAATTTAATTTAATAGGTAGTTATGAAGTTCAGACCATAAACTTGTTTGTTATGTTTACGATGTGATCCAAAATGGAAAAAAATGTTTTATAAAGGCATCGCTTAAGTATGCATTTCGAATATAAACTTAAAAATAACACAAAACGTCAGACTTTTAACAAAAGCCCTTTCATAAGATCGTATCAACCCTTCGACGTAAAGTACCACTCCAATATTTTCCAAATTATGCATTATCGTCCATATTTTCTCTAGCATCTGCCTGAGAAGCAATTTGTATAATAGCGGACCTATCTAGCCCCTAAATCTCCCACGCTTTTTTTTTCTATTTTCACACCTAGTCATTAATTAATAAACCAAATTATCGAGAGAGACCCGGAACGAATGTTTTTCAGACTTTGAAATATCGAAGGGTCTCGTTGATGAGAACTGGATTCTCTTCCACCAACTGTTTTGAACGCCCACCTTTTCAATTGTTTTTCAACAAAAGCGTCCGTCATCAAAGCAGCTTTGTATCGCTAAAAAATGATCGTAGAAACCCTTGAAACCCCCGCCAACTAATCTTACGGAGAAACTATTAAAACTGCTTAGTATTCTTACCACGCACTTCCTAAAAGGATCTCTTATTGATGAATGTCAGATATCATTAATTATTTCCGTGGTTCTAGACTTTTTTAAAGAGGTTTTGAAGAATGGTATTTGACTTAAAAAATATCGGTTTTTTTTTCAATTTCAAAGGTTACAGATTATTTTATTAATGTTTAACAAATTATTTCGTTGAAAAAGTATATTTGAAATAAGTTATTGTATCTTTTGACACCTTAATATTTTTTAAAAATTCAATTGTACATACATAAAATATTTAAAAAAAAACACTTCACGGCGGATAGGTTTTTAAATAGCATAATAATGAACTTAAACTTTTGAATTATAAAACAGCAACACTCTCATCTGCATATACATTCTAACTGGCCTTCAGGAATCACATGCATCTATAATGTCGTAAACAGAGGTTTTTGTTTATTTAAAATGATTAAAGCGCCATCCGTTGCATAAAATTTAAAGCAAAAACAGATTCACGGAGGATAGAATTAATTTTTGTAACACCTACATAAATGGTAATAAAAATTATTTCTTTTAATTTTTTATAGTATTTTAAATTTGATTCGATTGCTTTGGATGTGTTTAATTTACTTAGTGAACTGATATTTTTAGTATGCTTTTACTACCTCAGATATTTGAAAACATATAGGTTAACCTAGAAAGAGTAACGGTCACGGATGATAGGTTTTAGACTTTTAAAAAATTGTAAAAATAATTAATTGCGGTTAAAAATCTGAAACCTGAGCTGTAATTTCTACTTAATTATGAAAGATCAAAACACAATGTTTGTAAAAATAAGGTCCTTTTTGAAAATTACAAGAATTATGGTTAAATTATTGACATAGTATTTTGTTATTAAATCAAAAAATATAATTACAAACTACTTATTCAATTAGTTAACAGATTACAGTTGGTTGTAAACTTAACATAAAGTTATGTGGACCTACAAAATCTGGTTAATATTTGGAAAAAAATTAACAAATTTTTTTACTGTGTAAAGAAACCAGAAAGTATATCATCATCAAAATAATTGGATAGACCATGCAAAACATCAAAAGTAAATACTAATTATTCATTGTTTCACATAATTTTTCTTTATCACAAATTAATTTTCCAAACACCTTAAATTTATGTCCAAAGTCAAAATATCTAATTCGAATGCTGAAGATCAAAGTGCTGGAACTGCATCTCATTAATTTTAACGAGATACAGGTCTACTACATCAAATTATATGAGATATAAAATTATAGAACAGAATATTTCAAATTCAGAGAGTTATTTATGTAACGACCATTGATTCGCTTGATATTTATTAATGGATCCAATTTCCAGATAGTGTCACACTGACTCTAATCCCAGAGAAGAATCTTATGAATAAAAATTTCCTCGATCCTCTCATAATCTCTATAAATTTTTTTGTCGAGGAATAAATGTCAGCTCAACTATTGTTAGTTTTTTCCTTATAACAGCTTTACTTTTGTCAGAAATCTTGTCGTTAAATCGTTTTTATAAAATAACTGATGTTGAAGCACGAATAAACTTAGTCGTATAGTTGAGTCGGGTAATATGGCGCTCTTAGTTGCCCCTCTTTACTCTATTTTCTTTTGATCTCATTGACCTCGACCATGGGGATTCATAAATGTTTCATTATCTAAAACCATTCATAGGCTAAAAGGAAATGCAAGCATTTTATAGATTATTTCTATTTTTATTGCTTTAGTGAGCAATTGATAAGGGATATCGTTTATTCAAAATCGTTCAAGAATTTTTTGATTTATCAAGGTGAATAATAATGCTGATTTCATGGGTTTATTGTTTGATATAAAATGAATCATTTAAACCATTTTAGAAACATCTCAAAATTTGATATTTAATTTTTTGTTCTTTTAAGACTTTTTTCTCTTCCAGTTATGATATTGCAATCATCCAGTAATTACGAGAAACAAAAACCTACGATTTTTCAAAGTAATGAGATTATTTTTGTTTACAGAATAAACTTTTTTTAATGTTAATAAAATTCTCATTTACTATAATGAAGCAGCAATGTTGAGCTTTTATAAAAAAAATGTTCATCCAACAAAGTTATCATATTGTAATGACAATAAGAAATACTTTATGTTTATATTAAATCTTTGTCGAACTTAAAATGTTTTTGTTAAATCTATAGTTTTTGTGAATTGCGCTTACATAAAGTAATGACCCTTGTTATAGTAAAATTTATTCATTTTGCTATAGCATATTTGTCTTTTTTAAATTACTATCGTTGTAATTCAAATTAATTTTATTTCAGTTAGAAAATCTTTGTTAATAGCTTACGTTAAGAACAATAACAAAAATATTTAATTGCTATAAAAAGACTTTTTTAATATTTACTATTGATTTGCAATGGTAACAAAATTGTTGTTATTTCCCTTAAAAAGAGGGGGAAAGGGCCAGCGCTCTCCTTGGTGAACATAACTTTTTAATCCAGTCTGTGTTATAATATTATTGATTTTACTTGTGCGAGTGAGTTCATATTTTTTTTTATTTTGTACATCATAAAATATGAGTTATTTTTTTTGTTATAATAAATAATTTGTTTTAATGCCTTGTTATATGACCATTGTTGCAATGAAAATAGTTTATTGAATTAACAATTAATTTGTTTGTTAAATTTACATCAATTTTAATAATATTATAAAAGAAGTTTTATTTTAAACGAAAAGGGATTTGTAAAATTTACAAAATTACTATGAATAATTGAGAACTTGTGGAATGTTTAAAACAATGATCAGAGCAACTAATAGTTGCCAACTATAGTTAAATTAGTTTTCTCGTAATTACTGGGTTGTGTGTATAATAACAAAAAATCTATGTTTTCTTAGGTTTAGTTCTACAAAAGAATAAATTGTAAGGTATTTATATACGCCTAATAAGATTTGTTTTTTATGTTAATGCAATTTAAAAAGAAGCCATTCCTTAACTGTAACAATTAATGTTTTCTTTATTTTCACTATTATCTATTTCTAGGACTTCACCTTTTAAAAATGCTATCGCTATATACCACAGTCATAACAATGTTACCAAAACAATAAAATTTAAATAACTATTTTTTGAATTGAAATTCAACCCAAAATTATTCATACGAAGTCTTTGCCGGAAAAAATTATGCAAATGCTTATATGAGGGAATGGTTCTTACTGTCTTAATGCTACAAAGAAAAAAAGGGAAAACGGAGCTGATGTAGTTATTCGATGCCAAAGTCCCACTCGAATTTATGTAGCCTAAACAAAGTTTACCCCCCTTCTTTATGGTTAGAATGGAATTTCACAAGGGATCTATCAAACGGCTTATTTAAGTTAAAAAAATAATGTTCGTTCAGTAGGTATTTTTTTCACAATTGGCTGAAATTCTGTTTCGGCGAAAATCCCATCTTTTGTTTTTACAGTGAAATCACGAAAAATTCGTGTAACAAATCGAATTTAACGGATTTTCGCACTAAGGGCGGAAAATAAAGATTTTTATGGTTTTATTTTAAAGATCACGTATATAAATTTTAGTGTGAGAGAATAAAATCACCAGACTGAAATAACTATTATAGACGTGCTGAAGTGATGCTTACCACTGAAAAGTAGTAAAAAGTATCAATTTTCAATGTGGAAAATTGAGTTTTATATTGATTTTAAATTTAAGAAAATTGTTTATACTCAATAAACAAAAAATATGGTAGGTAAATATCATTTTTAAATAGCATATTTTAATAAAAAAAAATATATATGAGAAAAAATCATATATTAAAATATAAAACTGTATATAAAAGTGGAACAAAATTCGGCTAGCCCAAAAGATTTATTTATTTGTTCAAAAATCATATGTGCCTTTTTATTAAGGTTCCCACAGATTTTCTATTAAAAAAGTAAACAAACCTCTATGGGGTCTAATTTCATATTTATTTATTTAACTTGTGCATATGGAACGAGTTTTTACACAATAATATGTCACTTAGCCACTTTTGCACTAACCGATAAAAAATAATAAAAAATATACCCCACCTTAAATCCAACAAATAATCCTCGAGTAGTCTCACAAAAAACATAAAACGTCACACAATAAATAAAAACAAAAATAAAATTGCAACTTCACTGATAAATACTGAATGAGTCGCGAGACGAACGAAATTTGTGCATCAATATCAAGACGCATGCGACCGCACCTCGACTGTTCAAATGCAGTACTAAGGAAAAGCTCGGATGTCCAATAGAGAGTAGGCCCTGAAACCGACCCCCCACCACCTGGAATCTGTGTGAGTGCCTTCCCCCACCACTTCCACGGTTTGCGATCGCGAGGACTCTCCTTCAAAGGGATGATGTTAATTTTGCTATCAAAATAGAAAGAAAAATTTCATTTTAATAAAAAATAATTAAAAAAAAAAAAGTAAATAAAATAATAAATAATAATAATAAATTAAAATAATAATAATAAATAATAAAAATTACCAATAATTTTCATGAATATCACCAAAACAATTCATTTTAACGAGTTTTATTCAAAAAGGTTCTAAAAAAACTGGTTTTGACGTTTTTGAAATACGATACAATCAGCTGTCATAGCAACGTGGTATTTCCATTTATTAGTTTTTGTATTTAGTTTTATTAATTTATAAAGGATTTATGGAACTCTTTAGTGGTATTTAAAATAATATTTTTGACGTTTACCTACCATTAACAAATAATTCCATTTCTTTTATCAAGTGGGAATTTAGTTTAGTTTGTGAAATTTTTTCAGGTTTGACGTTTATATTATAGGTTATGTACAGGATGATCCCCTATAATGTCGCCCCCCTTTAACTTTTTTATTTTAAGTGTCCCAAAAAATTTAAAAGTGTGGTTATGTAGGTACTAAAAAATACTTTTTTTCTACGTATAAAGAAAATTGATCAATATACAGGGAAAAACAAAAAGTTTATTTAATTCATATAATAACCATATACCTAAATTCAACTGTTTCTGAAATATTCGTATTCGAAATGTTATCATTAAATGTTTTTTTAAACTGTTAGAAATCAAGAAGCCTCAGTATACCAAAATTTTTATTGAAACTAAATTACTATAGTGACATTATGTCAATATGTCTTGTTAAATAAGTAAAAAAGGCGTACTCAGACAAACTATTTTAACTTATTATCTTAAAAATTATTTAAATATTTCAGAAACGGTTGAATTTATGTATATGGTATGTTATATGAAATATGCTTAGAATTTTACAAGGAATCGAAAAATAAATACATATATAGGGTGATCCATTGAAAAAAAAATAAACTTTTTGTTTTTCCCTGTATACTGATCAATTTTCCAATTTTCTTTATATGTAGAAAAAAAGTATTTTTTAGTACCTACATAACCACACTTTAAAATTTTTTGGGATCTTTAAAATAAAAAAGTTAAAGGGGGGGTAGACATTATAGGGGATCACCCTGTACATAAATTTATTCTACAGATTTTCTTTGCTGATTTTACCCTAAACGCGATAGATAATAATTTCAATGTATTTTCATTATTGTACGGCGGTGTATAATAATTTGACTTTTGAACTGCGTAAAAAATGAAGTGTTTAAATATGTATATGATTATGAGTATTATAATATGAAAATTGGTATACGCTTGATAAAAAAATATAATTTATTCTTTGAAACTTATTACTAAGATCCCGGTATTGTCAAAAGTTTATCATTATAAAAATAAAAAATCTTTGGATTTTTTTTTAATTATTTTAACCTTTTCCTAAACTGTAAAAAATACTAAACTCTCTAAAAATGTCAAAAAACTAAACTATTCATTTAAGTCGGGTTTATACAGCAATTGATAATTTAGTGGACAATTTATTTCATAACTCAATTGTTAATTTAATGCATAATTTAATACATAATACATAACTTTAAAATCTGGTTTATACAATTCATTAATTTAGTAAATATTTTATTTTTTTAATTGACAATATTGATTATTGAAAGTTGCAAGTGACACAAAATTCATCATTGAAACTCATGTTATGTAGAAACTTTGTAGTATTTTAAGGCACAAACACAAAACACAATAATTATTAATCATAACCTTATAAAATGGAGAGATAAAAATTGTTGGCACATGCGCGGTGTAATTTTATTTATAATTCATAATTTATTTCATAAAAGTTAAATTTTGTGAACTTTCAAGTTTATTAAATAAACACTAAATTGTGAGTTAGGCATTAAATCCTTGTATAAACTGTTTCATAGCAGATAGTGCGTTTTAACTGTTATGCTTATGCACTAAATTGTGAATTATGAAATAAATTAATGATATGAAGTTGTATAAACCCGCCATAAAAGTTTATGGAGAACGGAAAAAGATATCGATTTAAAATTTGTATAACAATTATAAGACAATGGGCCATGTAAATATCATTTTTAAATTCTACGTAAAATTCTACAATTCTACAATTAGTGGTAATACAGACATATTAAATAGTAACACTATCAATCTGTCAAAATGTATCAAAAACTGTTAAAAAAATAATCAAATTTTAGTATTTCTATAATTTTTATTATGGAGCTACTGTTTTTAATAAAAAAAATTATGAAATTTTTTTTACAAAACCAGGGAGCCACTGGATGTCACTGACCCATCCTATATATCATCATTGTTTTTATCTCTAAAAACAGTGATACTAATCATCCAAGCCTGTTTTATGTAATATCAAGCAAACTTTTAAACTTATTCAAAATCGGTTAGTAGATACTTTGTTGTCATTGATTACTGACAGTTCGGTTGTTATTGTGGTTTCTCTGGAGCTACATGAACAGTTTAGTATACCAGAAGGAAGTTGAGTCAACTTAGTTGACACATTAGAATAACTCCGGGAACTTGTCACTGCAGCGGCAGATAAAATCCGAAATCATCCGGATATGATAGCAAGAGCGACACATAATTTTCTACGCCGCTGTCAACTTTGTGTGGATAATAACGGCGGAATTGTTAAACATTTATTATGATTTTGTGGAACACTTAAAAAAATAGGTACATGAGCATCAATAGACGTAAAAAGTGAAAGTGTTACTAATGCAAAAATGACAAAGAAAATCTAATCACAAATAAAAAAATATGGATAAATATTCCAGAAAAGTTTTTAACCAAAAAAAATATACTGAGAATAAGGGACACCCTGTGCAATAATATTCATAAGGATAAATGGGTCAGTACTCTCTGCCCAAAAGCAGTTTTGTTGTTAATAACAACTTGTTATATTAATATTTTTAAGAGCCATAAAGTATCCTTATAGTTTTAGTATTTTGTACCTTAATAACATGATTTACGCGAAGCAAAAATAATCTTTGAGGAAATGCTTACGAAATGTAAGTAGCTTAGGAAAAATTAACTTGAAGAGGTAACTTCTGACGACTTAAAAGTAAATCCTATTATGTTAAATTCGATGGCAGGTATAACGAGAACAAGCCGAAGAGCCACCGAGGTTCTCATGACGAAAATCTATACTTGCCAGATGCGATGATGGCAATTATTATTAAAAATTATGAAAAGGACAGTTGTGAGAAAAGGAACAAGAGCAATATTTTAACGAGGAAGTGTCAGATCAGGTTTAGTTATGAATTGGCTACGGATATTTTAACTGATTTTAAACTCTACTTCCTATATAATATTTATATATTGATATGGGCATTTTTTTTTAAATCACATTTTAAACAACATACTAATTATATTTATATTTAACATATTTCTTGTGTCCCAGAAAATCCACTAAAATTTTTTATTTTTTTAATTTTTATTACTTATGTTAATTTTTAACACAACAGAATGTGTAAAAGAAAATTAATATATGTTATTTTTTTTTACATAACTGCAAAGTTAATTTAACAAATAGTGTTGTGTCAATTTTTTTTTAACCTAAATCTGTATAACTTTAACATAATTAATTATGTTAAATTTATTTATACTTTATTTATTTTACACAAAAAAGTATTACTTTAACATATAACTTTCTATTGATTTTACACAAATAGTATGTCTTCATTTAAATATTTTAATTTGTTATTTTAACAATATTTTTTAATTAATTTTTACAATATTAATTGTCTATTTTTATTTATTTTAATAAAATATTTAAATTAATATAAGATTATTGGTTTTTGGGCAAAAAATAAAACATGTAAGTATGTAATAATAATGATTTATTATACTACAACATAATTTTAAAAAAGGGCAGCAATAAAGCATTGGAATTCACTAAAATACCGATTTTAATCGAAAGAAGGCGAAAATTAGCGAATTAAAAGAATAACATTTGTATTTGTTAAATTGAATAAAAAAATACTCAATTGTTTTAATTTTATTACAAATTTTCTGTACTCAAATATTTAACAAATATTTTTATTAGATTAACACTTGTTGAGGAGTTATTTAAACCAATGTATTTTTTCTACTCCCACCTTTAAAAGGCCCATTATCGTACATGTTTCCATGACACTAAGTGACCTTTTAAATACACATTGAGAACTTGTGGCTTTATGGTGCTTTAGTCACGGGCTGAATTTAGTTTTAAGTTAGTTGACAGTTGTCAAATGTCATACAATCGTTAAAATAAAGTGCCTTTCTTGTAAAATAATACTAAATGTGAACATTATTTTATTATCTCAATACAAAAATACAAAAGTATTAAATAGTTTCTCAACGCCAATATTTGAAAAGTTTATATGAACATTGTACTGACCTTTTAATTTCGCCGGCAGTAAACTATAACTTAAATTCGGGTACGGACTGTAAAGTGCTCATAAAACATTTTCTTCACTTTCACTGTGAAAAACTGTCAATTTTCAAGAAATATATTTCGATTTATAACCTTTATAATCTGTGTTTATAAAATATAAAAATTTGACATTTGACGGTGACACACAGATTCCCCTATTGTTTAATAGATGGCGCTCTATACAAATTTTTGATTTAAATCATTTTAAGATAATAATAAGTATTTGTCGTAGAAAAAGTATAGTATGCACCTCAACTTTACTATACACTGATTAATGTAAGCACTCGCTCGCAAGCTCGCTCGTGCCTAAATTAAATTCGTGTATAAAATGGCGTTTATCAAACTTGATACATAATATACTATTATTAAAATTAACATAATTTTCTCGTAACATATTACTATATTATTTTACTACAATGTACAAAAAAA